ACACCTTTACAAAGCTTCTCTTGCGCATGCAAATTTAATTTACGCTTACAGTCTTATGTACACTTCCACAACTCTTATCCTGCGTATGCAAATCTTTTTGACCTCATTCTACCTTCATAGTATGGTCCAGACTGCAGCGGGCTTTTGGCAGGAGAGTCAGAGCGGGGCATCTCTTGCGCACTTGCCTCTAGGCAAGTTAAAGGACGGGACGCTGACCCGAGTAAAGCCGATTCCTGTCCCATTCACAGAGATCAGACGAGACTGAGGCTGCTGCTAAAAACAGGTCAGACTTTAATTTACAGTGTTCATGTTGACGTGCAGTTATTGCAACTAATTATATTTGCATGCAATGCATGAGCACGGTAATTTAAAATGTATTTTTTTTTGCAATAGACTTTTATTGTCTGAGTGCACGCAACAATTGATGAAAAATCAACTTTTCTTGGATAGACGACCGGGAGTGATTTGCATGTTAAATGCACACTTCATATGAAAGGTTTTTGCATACCGATCACACTGCATTAATTGCACAGGAATGTGCATCATTGCATTTCGGACGCTTTGCAAATATCTGTTCCGTTGAGATCTGCGCAGCCTACACTCTCCTCGCATGTCATTCTTTGTCACTGCTGTCCTTGCTTGAGCCTTGATAGTTTCTGCAAGAGACAGAGATCGTGCTGGGGTTGTTACAGACCTGAAGGTAAGGTCAAAAACTGTCTGTTTGTAAAAGAATCACCCATGCATGCATCAGAATGCATGTTTATGTTGGTATGCTATATATGAGTGGTTAGTCCACAGACGCACTGTACATTAAAGGGGCTGCATCGTAAAGACAAAGCCAGGCAAGTTCAGAATGTTCTTTTTATGTGAGCAAAGAGAGACTGCAAGTGTAATGCAACATCTTTGCATTTAATTATTATTATTATTTTTTGTAATGTTGTGCATTGCAATATGCATTTTAATATTAGAATTTAAGACGGGAAAGATGAGTCGACTGTTATGTCCAGTTAATGTTAGTCATTTGAACGGAAAAATAATGTAGAAAAGGGTTCTGTAGGCTAAGTAATCCAATCTTACGTTGAAAACTATAGGTTTGTCAAGGTAGTGTTAGAATTTTCTGCGAAATATTGTAAATATTATATGAAATTGTGAGTAAAATGGAGTGGGAGTTCTGTTTGTTTTGAACTTTTTGAAAAAAGTTATTTTAAAAATATTGTATTTTATTTGTTTTATTTTAAATTAATATGCATTTTAATTAAATTATATTTGATTGTAATTTATGTTATTATACTTTATTAAATGAATTATTTTTTTAATTATTGATATTCATTTAATTGTTGTATTCATTTATAATTAAATTAATTTAATGTTTTAAATATGTATCTTACTTTTATTTTAGTTATTAATGTATTTGTAATTTAAAAAATTTCCATTATTTAAATGCATTTGTTGATGAAAATAAAAATGAATATTTTAAACAGTTATCTTCATTTGAAACTATTTTCAATTAATGTTTATTTTAATCATTAATATATTTGTAATTTTACAGATAATATTTTTATGAATTTCATAACAAATTGACATGCCTTAATTTTAATGTATGTTTGTTTATTTTATTTTTATTTATTTATTTGTTTGTTGACCAGTCTCTATCATAATTCTGCAAAGATATTGTTTATTGCAGTGATGATACTGGCTGCATGCAACTATGTGAGTTCACCCGAGTCCTTGTGTTCTTTGAGAGCTGTAGTCCATTCATGCCTCCTAATTGGATGTTCCTTTTCTCTTTAGGTTACCTAATTGGTTTATTAAGCAGTCTACTAGTCTAATAGTCTACAAAATACTCCATTCCATAGGGTTTTCTCCACCTTGGGGTACTCAGCGACACGTTTAGTAGCAAACTGATGATATTTTTGGCTTTTGAAGTTATAAAATGCAGTTGACCTTCTGAACTCAGGTAGTGAATTGTTTTAAGGTCGATCCAGAAGATCAGTCTTTAACCTGTTATATAAGCGGAATGAAAGCAAGACTTACCAGAACTCACTGCTAATCCCAGAGAAGTCGTTTTATGTCGGAAGACAAATCTGTATTTATATTTGAACTCCTTTTATGAAGAAACCTCAAAATAAAAACAGTAAACATGGTGAAAAATAACTAGTCATTCCAGCTTTCTCCATTTGTGCTGTCTTTGTGTGCAGTTGATGGATTGTTCAGTTTTCTAGATGTGTTTTGTTGAAGATGATGACTTTATCAAATGCATTCAATCATTTGATGCATGTGGACACCTTTATATCCGGTTTGGACATGCAAAGGGTGTAGGTTGGACAAAATCCACCTGCAAACGCCATAGATATTCCAGTTAAAATAGAATCAGAGATATTTCCTTTACAAATGTGCCATGCATCAATCATAAAAGTCACCTAAACTCCAGCATTAAGACGCACATATACGAGTCTGTACACTGACCAGCCAAAACCCGATTAGCGTTTTCTGACAACCATCTTAAAGCCATGTAGGACAGCCAATGAGAAGCTCTGGAATTTTTAAACAGGGCATCAGAAGTCAGTGACACACTAAAACAGGCTGATAGATGAACACACATCCAATCAAGATAGACTGTCTGTCTGTCAGTAGCTGATAATGAACATGAGACTTCGCCAGAGAGACTGAGCTGCATTCTAAAGGATGCAAAGAAGTTTTGATATTGAGTTTCATCTTTAATTAGATATAATTATTAGAGATCAAGCCTCATGGCTCCTGGAATATTTGGGATTGTTTTGGCTAAAAGTAAAGGTATATTCACAAAGCTTTGAATTATTACTCATTTTTTCCGAACAGATCGAACAGATCATAGACGTAGGTCTTTGTTGGTCACTTTGTAAATCTTTTATGTTCTTTTTTTTATCCTCTCCAGAAATCCCTGTAGAAGCTCACGCAGAAATGGGCCGAAAGGAGGGCAACTATGATTGGAAAAAGAGCACGGATAACATCCAGGATGTGTTTGAATTCATGGAGGTGCTCGGATCGTAAGTACACAATTCGTTCTTCTTATCATTCATTTTAAAAGCTGGGAATGGTTTATTAACATACCTTTGTCAACAGGGTAAGCTTTAGTTTTTGGAAGTAAAAATATCCTGACGGAATTTATGTCACAGGTACAATTTTATTTTCACAAATTACACTGAAAATTTTTTTTTATATAAAATATAAAAATGATCAAATACCTGCAAACCTGCAAATCACATTTTCATTAAAAAAATATATATTTTATTTTCTTTGTGTGCTCTACAATTATTACAGAATATTACAATTCTTTGTAATTATTTGTGAATTTTACTAGCAATCTCTGAGTCAAAATAGTTGTAGATGGTACAGTTTTTTATTAGAATTTGCTAAATTTTACAATTACAAAGGAACAGCAAGTAACAGATTGAAATTCATGTGAAATTTTAAAGTAGAAAGACTGCATTTTTTTGTACAACATACACCAATAATCTGTTTTATTTACAACTTTGAAAAATATTTTGTAGAGTTTAAATCCTACATTAGTTTTTCAGTGTTGCTTAAATGTACTTCCCATAATAAATACATGCATAAAATAATTTAAAGTTTTAAAGTAATAAAGTTTTTAAAAAGTACACTAAAAAGTTTACATTGCACATTTTTATTTCTCAAAAATTTAAATTAAAGAAAAAAAAAGTGTGTTAGAGACATTTCCAAGAAAGCTGTTTTTGCTCACCCAGCCGGTAAAGGACTGACCCCGTAAATGCCTGTTTACCCAACTTTACCGGGTTTACACTGGCCTTCAGTGCTTTATAAGCTTGGCATTCAGGTCTTTGGCATTAGCGGTTCATTCAGAAAAAGCTCATGAGCATTCAGCTTTAACTGTAGGCGCGTTTCCATTACAGATTTGTGCAAAACTTTGGCGATATTTTATAAATGTCGATAAAAAAGTATTGCGAAATGACGGCGTTTCCATAAACCAATGTTATGCGACTAAAACGTAACTTTTGCCTCTCGCGATAAGTCATGGCAACGGATTTTGGTGGGATTTTGACTGATTTTGGCTATATTTATTCAAAGGAGGCGTATGCGTGTATCTTTACAGACGCAGCACATTGAGCCGCTTCAGAAACGTGCGTGGCACGGCTAGATTCTGGAATAAACACAAGCATTGAGTGGCCGCAATCAGCTTCAGTGACCGTATCAGAGCCACACTGCACTGCAGACGTGTGCAGTGTAAATTGTCTAAGCATTAATGGTAGGAAAGCCCCTTATACTGGAGAGCGGCCACGTATGAAGTGTTTCTTGGAGGTTATAGTACATTGAAGAATGATCATATGACTTTTTGCATACGCCATGTGACCTGTAAATGCGAAAAAGCCGTTTCCATTGCAGTTTTGCAAATTATTCCTTTTTCGCATTGCCTGAAAAACCACCTCATGCGAGCGTAAAAACTTTTTTGCGATATATGGGCGTTTTTTCGAAATTGACGCGTTTCCATTAGGCGTATTTTTAATTCGCAATTTCAATTTGCGCAATTTGAAGGGTAATGGAAACGCGCCTAGTGTCTTAACATTTTCAGTCTTGTGTTGTGATTTGTAGCAATTTGATAAAGAAAATAGCTTACTGAATTATGTGACTTTTAAAAATATTTATCTTATCTACGTTTAATACGCATAAACCTTTTGGAGGCCGATTCCATTGAAAAGTGTATCACTGTTGGTCTGTAATGAAACATTGATCATTTCAACATGAACTCAAACAATTGCATGAGTTTGTAGGCGGGACTATCAGTTTGATCAGCCAATAGGAGGCAGATGGGAGAAATGTTCAGGAATCCTATTTGAAAACGTTATTTCAGTTCTGTTTGTCGACGCCTTCCTCACCTTGAATTAACATGAATTATGATTTAGATTGTGAATAAGCTGTTTAAATGTGTAATCTCAAATCCATTATCCCATCTGAGCAACTCGACGGGTCTCAGACGTTGAACCAGACACCAGTGATCCGGCCCTGCTGTCCTGAATCGGTTGAAAGAAAGCCGACTAGACAGTGAGCTCAGCAGACATGAGCAGCTGTACATTGTCTTTGCTGACTGTAGAGCGATCACCAAGCAGTCCCTGAAGACAGACACTGTGAGATCAGCACAAGCGTCAGAAACAGCTATTTGGGACCTTGATTTCCATTCAGGTTTCCATTCATGACTTAAATGATCAGCTACTGTGGGATTGGAATGTCTCAGCCAAACATTTGATTGACTGATGTTGAGTTTTATTCAGTTAAGTCTGTACACTCTCAGAAAAAAAAAAGGTTCAAAAGCAGTGACTGTGGAAGTACCTTTTCAAAATTGTACCTTTTAGGTACTAATATGTACCTTTGAGGTACCAATATGGACCCTTTAGATACAAAGTTGTACCTTTTGAAAAGATACCTCCCCAGTGACAGCTTTTGTACCTTTTTTTTTTCTGAGAGTGTAGCATTCAGGTCACCCTGCGGCTGTCGTTGTCATTGTATTGGTCTGTAGGTGAATCAAGGGTAAAGCAGAGGTTAAGACACCTCCAGACCGGAGTGTGTTAATCGCTTTGGCAGACAAGAACAGGGATCACAGGTGTCAGGGAACGGCTAACAGGATGGAGACAGATTTGCGATAATCTACCGGACATGGCCTGCAATGGGCTGTCTATTGCTTTGATACTGCAAGTTATTATACTCGATTATTTTCATGAAATAAGGCAAGGCACCCCATGAATAGGGTACAAACTAATAAATATGACTATACCTTACTACTTGATTGATTACATTAATAATTGCATTTATGTTTTCATGAATGTTATTTGTAAACAAGTCTAAATATCTAACTATTATCTAATTAAATATTTGCTCATTTGCATACATTTTCAGAATGGTAATCTGAACATCTGATCTTTTTTTTTTTTTTGATGTAAAAGGAAATTTTCACTCAGAAATGGCTAATGTATTTCACAAATATTTACAAAGAAATGGCAAGTAACACATTGAATTAAACATTAAACATTTTGAAGTTGAAATACTGAATTTCTTGTCAAATGTACTCCAATAAGCTTCATTTACAACTTCCAAAAATAATTTTAGAGTAGAGTTACAAAAGGGATTTTTTTTTTCTTTTCGTCACTTCATAAATCGGAAAATACTGTAAACAGTTAGAAAAATAGGAATAAAATGGTGTATAAATTGTATAAAAAATACTGAAAAAAGAAAAAAAAACTAATTTTGAGAAAATGACCTAAATAGATGTAGTGCAATAAAAGAAACACTTAAAAGTCTATTTTGCATGTTTTGACTAATTAAAAAAAAAGCCTCAAAAATGGCCAGTTCCAAAAAATAGAAAGAAAAAAAAGTGTATTGCCTTAATTAGCATATAATGTACTTAATTTGATTATTTTAAATCTGAATTATTTTTTAGTAATTTTTAAATTAAATGTAATTTTTTTATTTATTTTGCCATCACTATTTATTGTTTATATATATATATATATATATATATATATATAGCCTATATATATTTTTTTATTTTTTTATTTTGCTGTTGTGTTTTGCGACCACATTCACCTTGTCCTCAAATGTGAGGTGCGAATTAAAAACCAAAAACCTGAGGTTACAATTCACACAGGTCCTAAAGCAACATAATTATCTAGTTTCAGGCATAAACTAGTGTGTCTAGAGAGCTCTGTCACAACCTGCCCTTGCCTGTGGGCGTTAGTGGCACCAGTGGGGCATTATGGGCCGTAGGGAGTGCTTTCCACTGACAAAAACAACCTGAATTAAACTCCCACAATCCCTCAGCAGGCTTCTATTGGACTTAACACCCATCTGGATGAAGTACAGCATCTAAAATTGGCTTATATTAAGGTGTGAGTGATTGTGTGATGAAAAAAAACAAGTGTTTTTATGTATTTCATTGGCAGTTTTCTTTGCCTTTGGGCACATTCTGTGCACTGACCTTCAGTTTGAGCTGTATTTAGTTTCTTTTATTTATTTATTCATGCATTTCATTGGAATCCACAGTAGTTAATGAATTGAGGACTTTCTAAAGGATTATTCACTCCTGACCGTGGGTGAAGGTAAACACGCATCTCTGAGCTTTTGCATTCAGTGCAGGAAAATGGTGTTGTGGGAATATGTGTTAGGTGTCAGGGAAACAGTTGTTTCGTGCTGCTTCATTTGTGCGTAGGAGGCCGAGATTGATTGTCGGAAGCCATGTGTGATGTAGCACAGGTGTGATTTCAACCAGGAGTCCAAACCATTATGAATTCAGTTTTATATCAAAAATATATACCTACACTGCAATAACTGCTTATATTTTAAGTAGCAAATGTTATAAAAAAAATTATACAGTTACAAATAATACATTTTGTGAGATGTACACTAAAGTTACTCTAAAGATATACTCTTTTAATATTTATTAAAAAATTTAAAAATAACACATTTAGTAAGATTTACACTCAAATTGCATTGTTTTTTTCAAGATGTATTCTCTTAATATTTATTGAATATTAAGTAGCAAATGTCATTTAAAATTTTTATACACAAAAATAATACATCTAGTGAGATTTGCATGCAAAGTACACTATTATTTTCAAGATATATTATCTTTATATTATTTTCATGTTATTAAAAAATTTTAAACGGTTAAAAATAATACATTTAGTGAGATTTACGCTCAATTACACAATTGTTTTCAAGATATATTCTCTTAATATTATTTAGATGTTATTAAAATACTTGAAACAGTTAAAAATAATACATTATTGGGATTAACACTCATTTTCAAGATTTATTCTCTTAATATTTATTTGAAGTAGTATATTTTATTAACTTATTTTATACAGTTAAAAATAATACATTTAGTCATATTTACACTCAAATTACACTATTATTTTCAAAATATATTATTTTAATATTTATTTAAACGTTATTAAATTATTTTATACAGTTAAATAATACATTTAGTCATATTTACACTCAAATTACACTATTATTTTCAAAATATATTATTTTAATATTTATTTAAACGTTATTAAATTATTTTATACAGTTAAATAATACATTTAGTCATATTTACACTCAAATTACACTATTATTTTCAAAATATATTATTTTAATATTTATTTAAACGTTATTAAATTATTTTATACAGTTAAATAATACATTTAGTCATATTTACACTCAAATTACACTATTATTTTCAAAATATATTATTTTAATATTTATTTTAATGTTATTCAATTATTTAATACAGTTAAAATAATACATTTAGTGAGATTTACACTCAAATTATACTGTTTTATTTTCAATATGTTTTCTTCATATTTATTTTTAGTATATATTATTAAAATATTTTATACAGTTACAAATAATACATTTAGTGAGATTTACACAAAAATTATGCTATTCTTTTCAAGATATATTCCCTTAATATTTTTTTTATATTGTCTGAGAAGTTATATCTTATGCAGTTTTACGTTTTTTTCTGATCTTTTTAAATGATAGTGAACACAAAGATGCTGTTTAAAAATTGGATTTTCACGGTGTAAAATACAGATGGGAAAAGTTCAGCTATTAAACACTGATAAGAGTATTACCTGAATAATATGCAGATTTGCAGCAGGTAAACCAGTGATAGCACATGTAATCTCAGCAAGCGTTCTTTATAGCCTAGATAAGACTTATTCGTCCAATCCCAGGCTAATTGTAACCTAGCCAGCTGACCTGGTTGTGGGCCTGTGTTTATCGATGCACCTGGAAACCAAAGCCATTACTGTTTCCATTGCGTAAGGGATTTCACGTGTAATCTTTATCCCAATTGACCAAATGACCCATTTACAAAATTAGTTTGTAAAATCAAGTTTCTTAAATACATTTTTAAATTGTCTGCAGTATGTCAGAGTCAGTTTTTCCTCGTTTCCTTGTTATGGTGCTCTGATTAATTTCTAAGATGTTCTAGGGTTGCTTACTATTGTTTTTTGGGGTTTTTTTCAGTTTAAGTTTAAGCACTAAAATGACTGGAAATAAAAAAAAACTAGAACTGAACTAAAACTAAAACTGAAATAAAATAAATGAATAATACTACTTAAGTATTAAACAATTAATACTACTAAATTATATTAAAGGGGTCATATGATGCGATCAAATACTGTTCTTTTTAGCAGCATCATATGACCCCTTTAAGTACTAAGTACTAGTATTTTTATTAAAGGTGCTGTATGTAGGATTGTCACCGAGTGGTTGAACTAGGTATTGCAGTCCTAATTCAAAATATTGGAGAGAGTTTTTTTCACCTGGCCCCTTGATGCACACGTGGGTTGCCAGATTGACGACACCAACAGGAACGAGCGCACTTGACGAT